TGACCACTGGTCATATGACCATATGACCAGTGGTCATTTAGTTACAGGCTTATGACCTGGTCATAACCCATCACTGAGTGTATAGTACTGTACGCGGCACATCTCTATGTACAATAGGATGTCATAATATAGATTACTATAAAATAAATACTATTGTTTTTATTTGGCGATACTCGCATAAAATTTAAAATTATCAGTTGTCAAATTCAGTGTCCTTAATGAAAACTGTACATATATTTACTTGTTTAATAAATTTGGATAATTTAAATCATATATAGCTCTCTAAGTAGGATTAGGATAATTATTATGTGTCATATCATATTCAACGTATTGTGGTTGAATATCATGTGCGTAATTAATTACAGGCACGTTACCCTCATTTTCTGGGTAATGATTATATGGAGCACTATCTGCCGACATTATATGATGTTGAAATACCAGTGGTTGAATATAATGAAATGTAGTCACAGGTGTCTCAGAAGAATTTTGAGAAGATACATTATCAAAATAATTACAGTGGTATCCTTCAAGTTTAGTTGGATTGTTGTTATCAGGATAATGCAAAACTTCTCGAGTTTCGTCACCATGAGTTTTAGTAATTAATGAAGTATGTTTAATTCTATGTTTTCGATAACAACTCAATGCAGAATATCCTATAATGAATGCTAAAACAGAAGATCCAATGACCATACCAATAAGCATTGGCAAGCTGATATGGGACGAATTATCTGAAGCATCTTTACAAAAATAATAACAATAAAATATTTAACATATGTTATATGTACGTTATTAAAGTAGAAGTAGAATATACTTGCTTGATTGATATAAAGTGACCCAATCATAAGAAGTTGTATTAAGAAAATAAATTATATTATTAATGCTTGATTGTTTGGAATTAGACCCGGTAACATTACCTATATGATTAATTTAAATGGATTAAAATAATTCTTGTAATATTTTAAGCACCTTCTACGTATAAAGAAATGTATACCAAATAACAAGATCATATAATCATCTACCATTACCGCAGTATGAGCCGCAAGAGATGGTGTACTGGATAATGGAGTGATATTAGGTGTTGACCATTGAAATTGAGTTGATGAAACATTAAGAACGGCAAGGTCAGGTAAAACTCTGCTATTATCTGTACCATTGGAACCGCCATAAATAATAATTTTATCTTCGTGTGCTTTAAAAGGAAAACCGGAATGGTAAGAATGCTATCTTAAAATATTGTTTTAATACAGGGAATTTTGATTACCTAATACAGCTGAATGGTAAACACGAGAATCAATAGGAGTATTAATGAATATAGCATTCTAAATAACAAAGAAAATTTAATTAAGTTTTAATGATAATAAAAAAAAACAATTCAACTGGAAAAAAATTACATTTGATGACCATTCTGCTGAACTTGTATTGTATGTCCAAATCTATAGTCACAATTGATTTGTTAAGTAGGCAATAAACTTAAAATTAACAACTTTATGTATATACCTGACTCATATTCGCTAACGTGGGAGTGCTAGAAGTGTTACTCAGCTCCAAACCGCCGATAAATACTATTATGCCAGTTTTTAATAAAGTAGCAGTATGTCCAGATATTTTTGAAGGACCAGAATTAAATGACTTATTTGACCATGAAAAATGAATAGAATCAAAAATTATCATTTCATCAAACCATTCGGATAAATTAAAAATAGATTGTCCACCAAAAATATAAATAATTCCGGGGTCAGGATCATAAGATAAGGATGACCCTATGCGTCTTTGATTTAAAACATCCGAAGTTGTTATATTAGACCAATTTCCAGTATTTGTATTAAAGCTATATGCTATTGTATTATTTGTATTATTAGAAGAAACCATCATGCCACCAATAAGAAATATTATAGATTCATTGGCACCACAAACGGTTGCAGTCGCCCATGCACTCGCTATTGGAGCAGGAGAGGGATCACTCCACCGGGGAGATATAACATCACTAGTGTTAAAAGAAGTAGATAAATCAAGGTAAAATAGCTCAGAGGAAATAGTGCCATTTTGGAATTGACCACCAATAAAATAAAGTCTATAGCCAACTAAAACGCTAGCAGCAGCATAACGACCCTCTGGTTTGGATATTACAAAAGATACAAAGAAACTAACCATAAAAATAAGAAAGAATAGCATAATTGCTGAAAGATCTTAATGCATTTGAAGAGAGAGAGA